ATTCGGTCATTCGTTAATCTCGTGGTTTAGTAAGAAACAGGTTAGTGTTGCACTTTCCACCACCGAAGCGGAATATGTCGCTGCGGGAAGCTGTTGTGCCCAAATTCTTTGGCTAAAACAACAACTAGTGGATTTCGGCCTTATACTTGATCACATCCCAATTAGGTGTGACAATATGAGCGCCATTAGTCTATCGAAGAACCCCGTTCTTCACTCCAGGACTAAACACATAGAAATTAGGCATCACTTCATACGAGATCACGTCCAAAAGGGAGATGTCACAATTGAGTTTGTTGAAACGAAACATCAATTGGCCGACATTTTCACGAAACCCCTTAGTAGGGAGAGTTTCTTCCACATTCGGAACGAACTTGGCATTTTGGATATCTCTATGAACTAATTCATTTTTTTATTGACTATACTAATTTGAGCGTCGGAGGCGCGATAAATTCTTTTTGCAGGGCTTTTATTGTAGATATCTCTTCCCTTGGTATTCAACCGAATTGGACTTGATTTTTTTTCAACAAAGCTGTAATCGATTTTTCCTCAAAGAGAAATCGATTAGTCGCCTCTGTCTTTCTTAATCGATTACTCGTTTCTTTTTAATCGATTAAAATGCAAAAACGTCTTTAGCGCTGATTCACCTTTTAATCGATTAATTTTGTTCAATTAATCGATTAGACTCATCTGTCCATATTAATCGATTAACCATCTCTGTTTAATCGATTAATATCTTGAAAAGAGACGTCTGGTTCTGCTTACTTCTAATCGATTAATAAACTTAACTTAATCGATTAGCCTCGACTGTGTTCCACAATCGATTAAATTCTTGTGATTAATCGATTAATAGTCGATTTCTGCCTTATATCACACCCAGTCTTCGTCTTCTTCGCCATTCCTTCTTTTCGAATCAAAGAAACCCTAGCCTTCTTCCCTTCTCAATTTTTCTCAATCTTCATCATAAAATTCTCAAATCTCTTCCATTTTTTTGCCAAATTTCATCAATTTCAAAAAGGAAGAATGCCAAGGTGTAAGAACGCTTCCTCGGGTCAAGAAACGGCGGCAGAGGAGAATGAGAGGCCATAGCGTCGTGAAGGGAGCAAGTACATTCACATTCAAACGGGTCTCGCCTTCAACACTGGGGCTTCAGTTGAGAGGTTCCACAACATCTTCCTCACGAAGGAGATCGTCTCTCCCAAGATCGTGAACAAGGACCTCTTCAAATCGGCGACCTATGCCCCGAGTAAGTCTATATTCCTTCAGCAAGGCTTGCTTCGTTTCATTCATTTGACGTATGAATTTTTCTGTCCAAATCTTATACGTCAATTTTATGCAAATCTTCGTACCACTAAGGGAAGTTTGCCATCTCTCATTTCCTATGTTGACGGCAAAACCGTTTTCATTGACGGTGTCGGTTTGACTTCTTTGTTTGGCCTTCGTCGCGGTGATATTACCGAAAACTTGGATGAAACATTCCAAGATGAGGCAATATGGCGACAACTCGGGTTAGATCATCGTGACCTCAAGTTTAGAAACTCTAGTAACCCGAGTGTCATTAATCTCACTTTGATTCAACGCGTCCAACAATACATCTTCTCATATGTTTTGTTGCCCCGTGATTCGAACCATGGCGTCGTCAACAAGGACGATATTCCTTTGTTTCACGTCCTGTTGAACAATGTCAAATTTGATTGGGTTCACTTCTTTATCGTTGCACTTAGCGATGGCACTCGTTTTTCCCATCTTCGTTTTGCCATCCCCATTATGCATATCCTTGCTCATTGCAAAATAGACTTTACTCGGGACACTCAGGTACCGGTCAAGAAGACGTGTTTCATCACTGAAGCCAAGTTTTCCTGGATCGTGTATCGAGAGGAGGGCGATGCTGCACCAAATCTGGACTTGATAGTCGCCGAAGAAGAAGAAGAAAGCCAAAACGAGAATCAAGCTGAGTCATCTCAAGCCGGAGGTAGTCGAGCCACGGAGCGCGTCACTCGTCAACGGAGGACTCGTCCGAGAGAAGAAGCACCGGAACCATCTTGGGTGAAGAAGATCTTCGATACTCTCACGTGCATCCGAGATGCCGTTCGCCAGCTCAACGAGAGGATGACTCGTCTTGAGCAATCTCGCTCCTACCGTGGCCCGCGTCACAGCTTCAGCGGAGGAGCTCGTCCAGCGAACTCTCTTTGATTATTTTCTCTTCTATCTTAACTTTTTATGATACATTGTTATTTGCTATTGTTGTTATAACTCTTTTGGTGAATGATGTTGTTGCTAATATGGTTCTCTTTTAGTACTTATTGTCCCTTTGTGGCAATTCGTGTTAGAAGTTCTCTTGAAAACTCTTACAATTTTTTTTTCCTTCAAAATCCCGGCATCAATTAAGGGGGAAGGTTGTCGGTTGATAATGCCAAAAGGGGGAAGGAAGGATCGTTGAGAAAACTTGTTTTTCAAATTTGTTTTTCCGCTTATCACTCCGATTATTTTTTTTGCTGCACTTCTCTAACCTTGCAGGGGGAATCAATTAAGGGAAGTATTTTTTTTCTTTGCTTTTTCTCAACTATGTTTGTCATTATCAAAAAGGGGGAAATTGTTGGACATGAGTTCAAACCTCCTTATTATTTTTTTGGATTATTTTTTGTTTTGATGAATGACAAACAGAATGATTAAATTCAACCAATATTCGAATATTTATTCGGATCAAGAAAAGCAAAGAAGGGCATCAAGAAGTTTCGTCAATAATTCACGTTCACCCCTACGCAGTTTTTTTTGAAGTGAAGCGAAGACTCCGAAGACTTTTTATTTTTTATTGAGTCTAGGAATTTTTTGTAAGGATGACAATATCTTCTGCACAAAACAATTTAATTTCTGAGGGATAAAAATTATTTTTGAGTCAGTTGAAAAATCACTTTTCCTCTGTCTAAACTATTTTTGTGAGTCAGTTCCAAAATTAGTGTGTCAAAATTTCGTTAAAACATTTTTTACATAATTTTCTTTGGTGAGAAAAATATACCTTAAATATTTTTTCGTGTATTGTTTGTCACACAAAATAATTTTTTGGACTCTCTTTTTCTCTCCCCTACTCAAATTCATGGAATAGGGAGATATAATTGTTAGAAAATGCGTGAAACTCTAGAGGGGGGGTGAATAGAGTTGTTGAGAATGATTACCGATTTTCGTAGGATTAATAATATAAACGTAAGTGCAGCGGAAATAAAAGAGAGAAGGCAAAGAACACACCGATGTATACTGGTTCACCATCTCGTGGCTAGTCCAGTTCCCCGAGAGACTCTCTCGAAGCTACCACTACTTCCGTTAAGCTTACGGGTGCTTAACAAACCGTTTACAACTCGAGAACTTGAATTCCACAAGCCTCGACACAACCGCTCGTAGATATTCCCTCTACAAGACTTCACAACCAAGACTTAAGTCACATAAGTCTTGAACAACAAGAAGAACAATCTTCTTCAACCTCTCAACAATAGCTCTCAAAAGAGTAGATAAGAGAAAAGATTAAAGCTCTAATGGATGACAAGAAACCTCTCTTAAAAACAAATATTTTCTCTCAAAATAATATAAATTTGAGGAAGGATTGATGGAGGATTAACACCTCAAGAATGGGGGAGTTTAGGAGTGCTTGTACATAGTAAAAATGACTAAGGAGTGAGGTTTATAAAGGGGTTGAAGGAATATATCCGTTGGTCCAAGAAAAGAAGCTGTG